ATATGTTTTGCAGATATCTTCTTCCATCTGGTTTGTCTTTTTAAAAAAAGACTTTTTAAAATAATTTTTAAAAGTGCTAAAAAAGCATGTGTCATCCTAACAATGTTTAGGTGTACAGTTAGTATTTTAAATATATTCACAGTATTGTGAAACAGATCTCCAGAACATTTTTATCTGACAAATCTGAAACATTAAACAACTGTTCCTTGTCCTCCCACCCTGTCCCCAATAACCACCCTTCTGCTTTCTGTTTCTATCAATTTGACTACTCTAGATACCTCATAAGAGTGGAATGATACGGTATATGTCTTTTTGTGTACCTCATTTGATATAGCATAATGTCCTTAAGGTTTATTCATGTAAGAGTTTATTTCTGATCTCTCTGTTCTGTTCTGTTGGTCTATATGTCTTTTTGCCAGTATCATACTGTTTTGATTATTGTTGCTTCATAGTATGTTTTGAAATCAGAAAGTGTAAGACCTCCAATTTTGTTCTTTTTCAAGATCGTTTTTGCTATTAGGGGGTCCTTGAGATTCTATGTAAATTTTAGGATGGATTTTTCTATTTCTGCAAGAAATGTCATTGGGATTTTGATAGGGATTGCATTGAATGTGTAGATCACTTTGGGCAGTATTGATATTTTAATAAGTCTTCCAATCCATGAACATGAAATGTGTTTCTGTTTATTTGTCTTTAATTTCTTTCAGCAGGGTTTTATAGTTTTCATTGTACCAGTCTCTTTCACCTCCTTGGTTAATTCCTAAGTATTTTATTCTTTTTGGTGCTACTGTAAATGGAATTGTTTCATATTTTTTAAAGATTGTTTATTGATAGTGTATAGAAATGCTGTAGGTTTTTGAGTGTCGACTGTACCCTGGTGTTACCAGAGGATTGAATTCCTCTCTTGCTTGTGAGAGCGAGGTTAGGGTTCTTGGGGTACCACTGAAATAAAAATTTTTAGAAGCCCCCACGGGAGGATGAAATGTGATGAAGATTTTATTTGCATGAAGCAATCCGTTCCTGAAGACCGAGTTCAGAAATGTTTGAAAACCGAGGTACCACTATATTCTTTGGGTTCCAAAGTCCCCTCCCCTTCAGCCATTCCTGAAAGAGGTGCAGCTGGGAGTTTAATAAAGCTAGAAGCAAGGGGAGTATGCAGAGCTTTCCTTCCATGTTGCAACTGGGTGTAGTTTAGCATTCAAGCTAATTAAAGGCCATTGCATGGAGCCCCACATGGCCACGAGCGACGTGGGCACAGGGGAGTATGCCCCTGCAACAGGAGTCACAGGAGTCTGGAGCCCTGGAGCCAAGAGAGTGTGGTTTTTGTTTAGAAGTTTATATATTCAGGTTTCATGGCTTGCAGTGGCCACGCCCATCCTGGCCACTAATTTTTTCCCCAGGTGTGATTGACAGGCAAGCACCTTCCCAGCCACTCAGACCTTTACTGGTCATGCGTCTAAACTTCCTTTGTCCAGTACCTTCCCCCAGAAATTGGTGGGGAACAAACCTGGAGTGTTAAATGCAGCTTTTTGGCAAAACTGTATAAATGGCATGCCTATATTATTTAGCCTTCCCTTTCCTCTATTCCTGTTGAATAATAACCAAGTTATTATAACAATATCATTGGTACTTTACTGAATTTGTTAGTTCTTACTGATTTTTATGGACTCTTGGGTTTTCTACATATAAAATATGTGAACAGAGATAATTTTACTTCCTTTTTAATTTGGATTCTTTTCTTGCCTCATTGCTCTGGCTATGACTTTTATTATGTTGAATAAGAGTCTTGAAGGGTACGCATTTTTGCTCTGTTCTGATTTCAGAGGGAAAGCTTTCAGTCTTTCACTATTCAGTATGATGTTCATTGTGGCTTTTTCATATATGGTTTTTATTATGTTGAGATAGTTTCCTTTTATTCCTAGTTCGTTGAGTATCTTTTATCATGAAAGGGTGTTGAATTTTGTCAAATTCTTTTTCTGCATCATTTGAAATGTGTTTTTTCCTTCTTTATTCTTTTGATGTGGTGTGCTATATTGATCAGTTACCTTACGTTGACTCATCCTTGCGTTCCAGGAATAAATCTCACTTGGTCACGATGCGTAGTTTTTGTAATATGCTGCTGAATTTTATATACTAGTATTTTGTTGAGGATTTTTGCATCAGTGTTTATAAAGGATACTGGTTTATAGTTTTCTTGTAGTGTCCTAACTGGCTTTGGTATTGGGGTAATGCTGACCTCATTGAATTAAGGAGTATTCCTTCTTCAGTTTTTGGAAATGTTTCAGAAGGATTGATGTTAACTCTTTTTATTATCTCCTGTTTTTCTGTTCTCTATTTCATTTATATCTGCTTTAATCTGCAGTACTTCTTTTCTTCTGCTAGCTAAGTTCTTTTTCTGATTTCTTAAGCTGTTAAGTTAGGTGGTTGATTTTAGATCTCTCTTATGTTTTTTTTTTAATGTAAGCATTTATAGCTGTACATTTTGCCCTTAGCACTGCTTTGTTTTGCTGTGTCCCATAAGTTTTGGTATGTTGTGTTTGTTTTCATCCCTCTCTAATTTCCTTGTGTTTTCTTTGTTCCATTCGTTGTTTAATAGTGCATTGTTTAATTTCCACACTTTTGTGACTTTTTTGGTTTTGTTTCTGTTACTGATTTTGAACTTCATCCATTTGGTCAGAGGAGATAATTTTTTATGATATGTATCTTTTTAAATCTATTAAGATTTAATTTGTGGGCTTCTATCTTGGATACTATACCATGTATACTTGAGAAGAATGTATATTCTGTTGTTGGGTAGAATGTTCTGATAAGTCTATTAGATCTAATTGATTTACTACATTGTTCAAGTCCTCTGTTTTCTTATCTTCTGTCTGCTTCATCTGTTTGTTATTGAGAGTAGGGTATTGAAGTCTCCAGCTATTATTATGAAACTCTATATTTCTCTCTCTAATTCTGTCCATTTTTTATTGCATTAGGTACATGGATATTTATAATTGTTAAAATCTTGTTGTATTGAACCTTTTATTAATATGTAATACCTTTCTTTATGTCTTGTAACCTTTTTTTTTTTTTTTGGTCCTCACTCAAGGAGTGAGGATATTTTTTCCATTGCTTTTCCGAGAGAGTGAAGGGAGGGGGGAGAGGGCGAGAGAGACACATCGACTGGGTGCCCCCCCCCC